TCTGCTATTACCGTATGCTTACACTTATCATTGCCTTCCGCAATATGAAGAGCCACAGGTTCACTCAATCGTCCAGATATGAAAGGGTACCGTATCTTTGATGATCAACGGCGTAAGGTGAATAAGTCCTCACAATTATTTGGCATAATCATTTCGGCATATAACCCACACGGTGAAGACTAAGTGTTATCCGTCTCTCCTTTCGGAAGACTATTGGCTTCAGTTGTGATGAAACTATGACTGGCGCAACATGGTCAAATGAGCAGTTCCTAACCAATTATGCTTCTGCTGATTACAGTCCTGCGAATAGTTAGATCCCTTGGATCCAGTTGCTCTGGACCAGAACCTTCTCAATAGAGGCATACTACTGAAAAACCGTGAGTACTTCTTTTCTATCCATACTTGCCTAAGCAGTCGCTCATACACTGTCGCAGCTCCATGTCAGCCCAAATTCTGGCTGACAATGCACAACGACGAAACTTCATACTCATGCAAGTTGCTTTCTAACCTCTAACGAACGTACGTCAAGACGACCGTACACACATGCGTTCGTATTTTGCTGTATAGTACTTAACGAGCCCTCCAGTTTCATAAAGTCTACTTGGAACAATGGAACAATGGAACAATGGTATATGACGGGTAAAAAAGCATCCACTTAACGAGTCCCGCAGGTTGGCAATAGAAATACTAACAAATTGGCAAACCACATAAGTGGTTGAAGTAAGGAGCGTCAGGGAGATAAAAGGTAGAAGTATAACAGTTTTAGGGGGATAAAGTGGTACGACGCAAAACTGGCTAAGAAATTGTTATCGTTGGTGATGGTGGCAAATAAAAATGGAGTACTTGTATGGAAGCGCAGCTTCCCGAACTTGAGAGCCCGCTCACCAAATTCATTAATGTGGCATCTTCATCTGTTTTAACTGCTAATGAAGGAAATCAGTTTGTCAACTTAAATTATTCGCCCTGCTGCCTGACGATTTCACATCGCGTCAGTGGTGATTCTGCTGGACCTCCGTTCATTCGGCCGTAACAAGCTTCTCAACTTCTCAACCAACAGGACCTGTTTATCAACCGCCTCGAAATTACGCACCCGGTCCAATTTCTGGTCTGTGATGAGTACATGCGCATGTGAGCACTGCACATATTCATTTATCGTTCCTTCGGTACTGTCTGGACGTTAAATTCGCAGAGCGTCTCAACCAAGCGGATATAGTCAGAATTTCTGCCATTCTTATGGTTGTTAGGTATCTAATGTACTCCGTGATAAGTTATCATCCAGTTTTACATAAATAACGTTTTGAAACCATTTGAAACCATACTGATCTGCTTATGGCATACATTCTGAAATACTTCCATCGTGAAAGGGAAAACTCAGCCCTTCCTTGCAACCTTTCTAAAAACTTTTAGGTAGAACTACTGTGGATTACTGATGGTTTTTGTGAGTAGTGTAATTCTCGTAGAAAGTAGAAGCCACACATAAACTTAGTACAATAACCTGCCTCGACGGGGAGTCGAACTCCGCACCCGCGGATTTTAAGTTCGCTGCCCTACCACTGAGATACCGAGTGTCGACGATCAGGCGCGCAATTTAATACATGACTTCTGCTTGGTGCGCGATGTATTGCCAATAAACTCACAGCATCTCTCCTGGTGTTGCAGATTGGCTCACTCACTCGTCACTTCCCAATGAACCGAAGTATCTGTCCTCCTGATGTTCAAAGAGTGATGGTAAATGTAGATTACTGATGGTGTTTGTGAGTAGTGCGTCCGCCATCTAACACACACACACACGCAGTAGCGAGAATACAAATTCGTTTTATTTTCTTCCTGGATGTGAGCTTTGTTTGAAAACTTTCGTGAAAAGATTCACGGATTATGCTAAGCAATAGCTTGTTTCATTGTAACCGAGGCATTTTCAGTATTACCTGGAATTCTGTAGATTAGTCGCAAAAGAATTGTGGCGAATGAATTCCAGAAGCTAGCATCAATCATTAAATTTTACGTATTCCATTCTTGTCAACCTGCTCCACATTCATAAGGAAGGACAAAAAGATGTCAGTTTGTCATAGCATTACATATTTGCCCTCAAAAAGTAGTACAGACGGCAACTTGTTTCCATTACCAATCAGCTTGAAAATGCGTTTTGATGTCCAAAATCTATATGCTTGTTTACTAGACTGTCATTTAATAGTACTGCTAAGATATTTTCACAGTATTTGGTAGTTCGTCAAGAAATGTTGCTCAGCTATATAGATGATTCGCATCCTCAAGATGTCGTTGGAGGATTTGCTACCCACGACATCGATTACCGCAAAGTCGAAAAGCAATCAGCCTTGGCTAGCGGTTTACTGTGATCGATGTATGCGTCATTTCCGACGGTTAAGTCAGCCAAGGTGTTTCAGTAAATGCTGGTGCTGCCAGAATAGGTGTTTAATGACCAAAATGAGAAACGACACGTCGTGACCAGGTTTGTCGCAAGTTTTGTGGTCAAAACCAATACGTCCCGAAGGCAATGAAGAAAAAAGCCCTTTTAGTCATAAATGTTATACCCCAACATCTTAGAAGGGACTGGACATAATAGGCTTACAAGTTGGTAAGTTGGATCTCTTGCGCACCATCTAAAGTCACAACTACACCGTGTTGACAGATTGTTGAGTTAGCCATGAACAATCCAATTGGGCCGGTCTCATATATATTTTTTTTTGCAACAGTCTATGAATAGACATTGCACCATCGGAAACCATGGAACTCAAAACAAGGTACAGAAATAGTAAAAGAAAACACAACACAACAATGTCCACGGTTTCGTCAGAGGGCGAAATACTACCCGGTTGCCCAAGCCGAAGTAGGGTGTTGACTTGGGGGACACCACCCCGAGCCTTTGGCTGAATAGCCTGTCCGCAAGGCAGCGGAGCGAATTCAGGGAATCGCGCCCATTGGGAGCCGGTGACTGATTGATCAGTTCATACGCCTTTCGTTTGTTCCTTTGCCAAACAGGGGCCCAATGCTCCCCAGAAGTACAGCACGATGTTGCTGGGATACAATGCTTCGCCAGGATGAAGCAAGGGGCAGTGACTTTATTTAGTGGCGAGTCACGTCCGCCACGTCACAGTGTTGTTAAACGGACATATGTGGCTTTTTATAGGGAGAACGCTTGCCAGGCGAAAACCCACCACGTCCTGGAACACTGCCGCCGAACCATTTGCTGGAACGGGAAAATCCCGAACCACCCAGCTGGCACCACGAGGAGGTTGTTCGGCAAGCCAGCTGCTATCTTAATGGACCACCTGGAGAACCTTAAGTTCCTCACATACCAAACATGCATTCAAATAGCTGCTACGTAGATGACACTCCCGTTTTTATAGACACTGCCAAATAAGCAGTTTGTTCCAGTTTGTTCTCTAAAAGGCTGCCATCTCACGATAGAACTCACAAGTGAAAACCGATCTTCCGATGCCTTCCACTTTTTAGGTCTTAACAGAAAGACGCAAGTGCTACACGTCGTATATATGTGTACCGCAACCTAGCTGGATAGGACAAAATCCATCATTACACAAATTTATTTCCTGTGAATCACAAACCATCTCTGCTTCGTAACATTTTTGCGAGAGATTACCAGATCCTCGCCTAGAAAACGATCGAGCGTGTGCCGTAACGAATCTCCTCGATATTACGTGAAAACGGTTACCATGGGAAATTAATGGCACTGCACGCAAACACCGATAAGAAAAGCAGGAGCAAAGGGTGACCGGCGTCCCTAATAAAAGTATTTGTAACTTCGCCATTCAAAGGAGACCAAAATGACAGAGGATTGCGATATCTTCTCCTTCAATCCATAAAAAGTTCTTCTTATACTGCTGAGCTTGTAGTATTTTCACCAAGTTAAAATGTTGCTGTTGAAATCCAAACCCGACATGCCAAACACTTAAGTCACCGCCTCGTGTATTTAACTGGTTCTCTGTTTACGGTAGCGGATATGTCGGCCGAACTGAGCAAATAGTGTCCACAGGGATTTTATTGCCTATTCCACGCAACCCAGTCACAAATAATCCAAAGCAGCCTTTTAGTTAGACTGCTTTTCACATACTTGAATACTCGCTTATAGGTAAATAAACGAATTTGGTTATTTATTTAGTTAATCAACAGTTCAGCCCGTCTGGTTGACTTTACTGTGGCTCTGGCAGAAAACGGCGGCTGAGAGCTATTCTCCGTAATCAGATGGAATTCCTCTCCAGCCTCGCCTTGCCTTGGTGAGACTGGTCACATTCCTCTAAACGGGAAGTCCGCCATCGTCAGGTGATTCCTGGCCACCGTCGATTCACCAATGACATTACACCTTGAAGATATTTGTATGCAACCTATCCACTTCATTAAGTGTAAGTAAACAGCTGAGGAGAATACGCAAAGTAGCTGAATTCATGATCTCCTGTCTAAAATGTTGCGCTTTGTTATTAGTTTTAAATTTGTGTCGGGTATGTCTTACATGAAAAGTCAGTGAGGTGGCGCTTGGTAACTGCGTATCACGTTGTTCCCTTGATATACATAGTGTAGCTAGAGTGTATTAATATAACGAATCAGAGTGCAACTTAGGGGGAACAGATGTTAATCGCAATCGTGTCAAATGCAAACCTGATGGTTAACGCTATTTTATTTAGAGACTGTGGTACACGGATAGCGATGTGTCAGGTTAGCTATGAGAACGTAATCAAACCTAAAGCAAGTGGGCGCTTTTTGAAGTAGAGGACGGCGGGTACTCGTGCTGAACTACTTAAACCACTACATGCAGACTGAACACAGGTGAACACTTTGGCTTTCCTGTTTATATAATAAAGCTATCTGGGAAGAAGTTTACGATCATAAGGTGGGGCTCACCTTGTCTCTGTAGATGCATCCGATACATTAAACACTTTCAAAAGCTTTAGGATAAAGGTACGCAGAAACGTAGTCACGTAACTCTTGACACAGTCCCGCGTATCATATTCACTCATTCGCATTTGGCCCCGTCACGCACCTGCTGATTTGAAGATCCCGTGACAATCGATTAATACCTCTTATCGGGTTACATCCACAGTCGTGTATGCTAGAAGAATGGATGCTTTGGCGTAGAAAGAAACAGACCGGTGTGACTGATGGTGAGCGCGAAGCGGACATGGGAGGTATCACACAGCAGGCCACCGGCAACGACTCCGTGGTAGACGGAGAAAATGCCAGGCCATCAGCTGATGGGGCTGACCCCACCACTACTCAAGCGGAATCTTCGAAAGACGTTACACAAGCTGGCGCTGGAGAAGCCAATGGTCAGAAGCTCATGAGTGACGTGCCGTTACAACGCTTTCAACTGAAGCGATGGAACGCCTGCGTTTACTGGTCATGGGATGTAATGCATGACACATGTGTCATCTGTAGAAATGCAATGATGAGCCCATGTGAGTTCAAGTACATTACTTAATACGATTTAAACGAAAGGGGTCTTAAAAGGTATGCTAGTTTACTAAAAGCTGTGGCGTATCCGTGTTTGAAATTTGTAACACGCTTGTTGAACTCATATGACTTAATTGTTGTTGTCCAAGTTACGAAACTGTACTCTATATAAGAAACAACAAAGGCTTTGTATGATAGCTTTACACATGCTATTTCGCCGATTATTCTGACTTGATGATTACTGTTGAGCCAGTTACTTTCACAGAAATTGCGACCTACTTGTTTGCATTTGCTTTTTTTGGACATTTCTGGCTAGGTATCCACTGTCAGGCCAAAGTGGGAACAAATCCGTTGGATGAACTTTGCGCAGTTGCTTGGGGTGTTTGTAACGTGAGTCAGCAATAATGTTGCCTGTTGCTCGTACAACATAGCGCTTTTCGCGTCAGCAATAGTTCTAATAAGGAGTATGTATACTAATTGAATAAGTTAGTTTATTGTATGCAGTGCCAGTGTAAGCATGCTAAATCCACTGGTATATAAAAAGCGAGAAACTTGAAACGACGGAAATACATGAATATTTGCAGTTTGCTGGCAATGCACAGTCGCACTACGAATGCTAAATTCTACAATGATTTACGGAGACTCATGTATCGTTACTTGGATGCTTTTGACTTATCAGTGCTCATCCAAGTCTACGGAGCATCAACGAAGTGAAGTGGTGTTCCAACGAGTAACAAAGCGCAGGTTGCTTGGCAATGAAACTCCTGGCAGAAGTGACGTCTGGCCAAATCTAATCGCAAGCAATGAACAATCGTGGGAAGGACGTCCACACGTCATAGGCCCTGAACAGTCACCCATCCTCGACTGTTGTTTGAAGTAATGGTGGCATCAGCTATGAGCCTTCCACGCTTTTCACACATATCTGCAGGCATGATAAATAACGACATCTCACAGGAGCTTACAGCCAAACACAAGCGAACTTAGGCACTTCAGCTGGAAGATAACAGTAAACGTATCGCTAACGCTGGTTGTTGCAAAGGCTTGACATACTACTAGCATTGTGTTAGCGTATTATGGACATCATTCCTCACCCACCGTCTCATTGACAGGGTTCATCAAACCAGACATCATTCCGAAAGCGAAAGAAAGCATAAATGTTTCTAACAGTAAAGGGTGAGCGCAACGCTTGAAATCACGTGACTCGCTGAATGCAGCTCCGGGCTAACCAGCTAGCCTGAGCAGCACCGTCCATTTTTTGTTGGAACACGATACTTGCAGCGTGCATCAAGGTGTCCCCAGATTCCAAAATCGATCATGAGGTAAAGATGTCCAAACATCTGAGGGCACTAAACGTTTCACTACTAATAAAAATGAGCATAAATAATGTGCCCGTTGTACGCTACGCTTCTCTACAGCGGGATCACCAACAGTCGCACGTGGGCTGAGTATACTGCGAGGAGGCCTGCCGCTACGCTGATTCCAGCCAGTGACCTCATGATTGCAAGCCAGGAGTGCAGACAACTCGGCCACCGATCGTCGAGAACAACAGCAGATTCCTCTGGTTCAGTAGATATCATATACGCATGAAAATTTATCCCAACTTTGAATTATGTGAGATAAGTTCAGGAGCCATGCGTTTAGTGTTGTTATTGTGCGTGTCTTCAAAGTGGCACCGAACTCTACTACCAACGCTCCTTCATCCAGATTAAAACGTTCGTCGCGTAGCCGATGTCTCTATTACGGTATTTCATATTTTCTAGTTTTAAGGTACGTGATAACTAGTGAAACCATTTCAGATAGGTCATCCAGGGTCAAGTGCGGCTTCTCCTGATTGTCTTACGTCAAGAAGGTATGTTTCAAATGATCTGGAACAACCAATTTCCTTCAACTAATACCTCAGTACCTGCTTCAGCCATTGCTGTTTCCCAGAACCATTGGCCAACTTGGTGATGGTAGACGAGTTGTGGTTGTATACAACTTCGCATCAGATGCAGTCAGAACTGACATTAGGATTTTTCATGCACACTCGCCCAGGCATTGTGGCCAGAATATCATTGCAAGTGGGCCAACCTCACTATTCATGGCAAACACAGACTCGTAAATTTAGATTTGCTTAACAGATTACTGACCATTCCAGCATATTTCTTATCCGATACGCTGCTCTGTGGAATCAATTCCCAATCACAATCAGGTCGTGTGAGAACGAGAACTTACTTCGCAATAATCTGGGAAGCTACCTAGACCATGCATGCCCATGCAAGGAGAACAGGGCATTAGCAGTACGTTGATAGGAAGTACCGACGCTTTGCTGCCGCGCAACCACCACCAGTTTTACGTTGGTTACAAATACTTCGAGGGTCGCCCGGTTCCTACGTAGGCTCGAAACCGCAACCTCGGATCACAATACAGGCCTGTGATCCGTAAGGCTAAGGGCTAAGTTCAAGCATGAGTATGGTATTAGATGTACATAAATATGATCTGTGTCAAATATGGATGCAGATACGCAACTGATGAAAAAATGTATATCCTTATTATTTCTGACCACAAAGCAGTGGCTTACACAGGATAATTGCAATCGCCACTGCGAAACGGAGGAGGTGATAATTGGTGTGCCATTATCGTTATTCTTATTGTTATTATTGGATTGCAGATCAAATAGAAAAGTCCCAGTAAAGTTGGTTTCTACTTCCACAGCAATAGGTATATTCCTTCTGGGAGGCGCACTTGTCCTTCTCGTTTCCCAACAAATTCAAGCCAATGCTTATTATTGTCATATTCCCCAGCATGCACACAAATAGAGTTGATTACTATGAGTAGTATTAAACCTCTGGTTTGCAAACTTGAGGGGATTGAATGACTCCGACGTGTACTTTACTCCAGTTCGAGCCGCGAATTGCCGCTACCGCAATTCTAACAGAAGCAGCCGCACAATCTGTTGGATGGGTACACTATGCCCTTTCACGACAGATTCCGATCGCTATCAGCGGATCTGTGTTGCCTAAATCTGCCACTGATCTCTGTCCTATAACTATTATCTATAATCAGTTCCTCTAAAAAGCATTGTAGTGTTTGTTTGACTCCCTGCTTCTGATGTATTTAACACATCTAGATACGCGGATCCGTTAGTGAATCGTGATTAATATGGCGCTGAGATTCACATAGCTAAATGACATCTTCTCTCACATCTTTTGCAGCACGCCTACCACTTGCATTGTATCAAACGCTGGTTGGAGACGAGTGCGCATCCCCGATGTCCTTTGGATAACAGTGAATGGGAATTTAGCCGGTGAGGCCGATTGCTACATTACATATAAATAATGGACTTCAGCGAGTTACCACTTTCCCAATACGGCAGTAAGATGCGTCAGTGGATACCAAGCGATGCTATATCATATCTAGTAACTAAGCCACTACGGTTGTTCCGTGCCTGGACTACTACTGACTACGGTAACCGATGTGATGTAAATACTACATTTCAGAAAACTGGGTAGACGACCGGTTAATGTATTTATGGTGATATGGTGGTCTATCACCATAAATACATTAACCGATCGCCTACCTAGTTTTCTGAAATGATGACTTCACAATCTGTTCCAAATATGTTCCAAGCTATCGAGGGATTCAAAGACTATTTGATCTAACGAATAATCCCCATGAAATTATAGTGCATATTACTAGGAAGGAAGCAGTGCTCCTAAATGGTCTAAGCAAACGTAGAGTGTAAAGCAACTGCGCTCACTAACAGGCGATGGAACTTGTCTGTACTTTTGTTTTAATCAAAACTTTACAGCACAATCAGGTTTACTGCAAAGATAGAGTGGAACTTTATGAAACAGGACTTGAATTACCAAAGATTTGCCGCTAATGATAAAAACCGAGCGTGAGGCCACCAAGAATGTTTTCTCTGGGATTGCTGGTTGTTTTTCAACCGCATCTATTAGTCATGTACTGGGCGACCTTTTGCTGGAATCAAGTTAAAAATGTAAGCTCCTTTCTGTTAACCGCGAGCTGGAGATATCAACTTGAGTAAGTATGTCCCGCAGTAATGGATCAAAACTCCATACTGCCATATCTACTGTTGGCGGCATCCGATTTCGGATTTGCCTCACTTTGGCCAGCCACAAGACGCCGGTGCCTGCAGAGGGACCATGGGTGGCTTACGCTGCACCACGAACAGTTCCGCCCACACACCCCATATCCAGTGTAAACCCGAAGGAATAACACCGGGAGGCATGTGGATGAGAGCGACGTTTCATCAACAGAGCCAACCCAAAATTCTTCACAGGCAAACACAAGCAGCTGTATATGGGGAATCAAGCTCACACAAGACGGTGGGTGGACCATGGTCCAGTGCACACTGAGTGCATGGAACCACTCGTTGAGCCTAACACGACCACAAGGACCGTACACCCGTTCCCTCCAGAAACGATTCACAGTCTCCTGGAGCCACTAATCGAAATAGTGGGTGATAGACAGGTAGGCACCTTGTCAACATGCACATCAAGCGCAACCACACCGGGGATATCAAGCAATAACCAGTCACTTGAAACGACGAGATGAAATAAAATAACTCGCATAACGCAGACAGATACGGAGACCTAACTCTTCACTAAATGAGCGTATAAAATATTGATTAAGAACCAATCCGCGCTAAGTTCAAGAGGTCAGCAAACCTATTTTAGGAAAATGCCACAAACGCGAAAATGTTATCGAAATTAATTACAATTAGCTTCAGCAACCTGTGCAAGTTTATACATGATAGTACAGGTAGACATTAATATGAGAAAGAAAATTAGTAGGACAAAATTGAAAACCCACCACCTGAAATAAAGGGACTTAGCATGCAATAACAGGGTTAGTAAATCGAACGCAGAGTACTTACAAAAGCTGCGACGATTCTAGCTACGTTCTCTGCAGGACCCGTCGTCAGTTCGGTGGTGGTCCCGAGTGGCTTCGCTCATGGCTCACTAGGCCTGCCTGACTCAGGCACTCGCGACCGCATGTGCTACAGCACCATGCGCTCGATGTCGATGGAGTACAACTCAAATCGCGATATGCACGCCGATCAACCGCGTTCGATTCCCATGACCTGCAATCAAGGTTAGAACGTGAAAGGCACACTTTGATCATGTCCTGGTAACGTAAGTTTGGTTTCCCCACATGTCGCTTCCCAATACTCAGCAGACCATATAATAATTGTTTCGGTATCCGCGTGGAATTCATACGGCTCACATGACCGAGCCATCTCAGGTGTCTCAATAAAAGTATGCAGTCCACTGCATACATCCCACTTCGGCGCAACACTTCCGTGTCTGCAACTCTGGCGCCCCAGCCGATCCGCAAAATTCGTCGCAGACACCGCTGATGTAACCGCTCGAGATATCGCACGTCCAGCCGATACATCGTCCAGGTTTCACTGCCGTATAGAAGAACGCACAGCACCATGGATTTGTACACCATCAGATTCGTGTTAATGGTAAGCTGATGGTTGTTCCACACTCGGTACTCAAGCATCCAGAATGCCGCCGCTGCCTTCGACACGCGATTACGCAACTCAATGTGTAGCTGCTGATCAGTCGACATCAAACTCCCAAGGTAGCAAAAGCGGGAGGTGGTTTCCAATACTTAAGCACAAATGCTGATTTGCGGCAATATTGAAGGTTGCATATCCGCTGAAGGCTGAAATAGACAGGCAGTTTTGTTTGCGTTGATGGTGAGCTCGAATTTGGCCGCTGTCGAAGCCAGAACACCAGTCATGGACAGCTACTCATCCGCGCTGGGTGCAAACAACGCACAGTCGTCAGCAAACAGCAACATACGGATAGTTATCTCACAGATTAGGGTTCTCGCACCGAAACGCCGGATGTTCAGTAACCCAAGATCAATACGGTGCTCCACACGAACACCGTAAGCACAAGCCGCATAAAAAGCACAAGACATCATTGCATGAAGATATATATTAAACAGGGTAGGAGCTAAGACACAGCCTTGCTTCACACCAGAGACAACTGTAAAGTCATCAGAGGTCTCTCCACTCAGCTGCCCCTCGCCAGCATACCGCTGTTCGGATATTCAATTAAACTTACAAACTTACGCGAGCAACCAAACTTACCCAACACCAGCCACAACGCCTCACGGTTCACCGTATCAAATGCCTTGGTGAAATCAACAAAGAGCGAATACAACGGCTGGTATCGTTCTCTGCACTTCTCCTGCAACTGAAGAGCCGCAAACGCCATATCTAGAGCGCTGCGACCCGAACGGAATCCACACTGCTCCTCCGCCACGTTAGGTTCCACAACCTGACTGACGAGGCGGTTGAGTAGAATTCGGGCAATCACCTTGCTTACACAATTCAACAAGTTGATACCACGATAATTCGTGCAACATTGCTTGCTCCCTTTGCGCTTGTACCGTGGCAGTACAAGGGTGTCCTTCAGGTCAGGACGCACCTCCTACTCAATCCACACGTGTTGCAACTAGTGATGAAACGCAGTCACCAACGCGGGTTCGCCGTGTTTCAATACTTCAGACGGGATCCCGTCGGCACCGGCACACTTGCCGTTTCGCAGCTGAGCAAGTGTTCTCTGCGTCTCATCCAGTGTCGGCGTGTCCTACAGACTCGTCTTCACATCGTGCTGCTTCAGACAGTTCAATGTAGACCAGTCGATCTCTGAACGGTTGTTCAAGAGACAGTTAAAGTATTTTCGCCAGATCTGCATTATGTCTGCAGCCTGTGTGCAGGTAGCGCCTGAACTACCATCGATCAGTGTCCGCAGCGGCTCCAATCGCGGTCCATACACCTTCAAAGAGTTAAGAAGGCGGCGTTCGGCGTAGCATGTCCGCTGCTTCGCCTTCTCAGTCCACCATGCATTTTTTTGAGACGGAGCTCGCGAGTCCGTCGCCGTCAATTTCTACGAAACTGACGCATCTTCCAAAAGTCACTTAGGTCTGCCACATGTGTAGCAAATGCTACATTTTTCTCACACACCAATGCGCCAATCGTCGCATTGTTCTCAACAAACCAATCAGGACGCTTACAGATTGTGCTCCCGATCGTTCCTCGACAGCAGCTGTCACCTGGTCGCGAATGTGGTGCCACAGATCGCCCAGTGTGGCTATGCACGCCACATCACACAGACGCGCAGGAATCGTCTTCTCCAGCTCAATACTTTTCTCCCCAGTACCGAAGGAGAGAAGGTTAAGTTTACTAGGATCCAGGGCGGAAGTGCAATAAATAGATTCACGAAAATATATATACATTTTGGTCGGCACCAATTTATGAGCCGCGCTACACTCAATTCCACACAGTACGCGTGTCATACGCACTTCACGCATATCACGCTGACGTACGATGACATAGTCGAGCAGGTGAGCGTGACCACTCCGTGGGTGCGTCCAACTTGCTACATCACTCACGCTCACTGCATACCGAGTGTTCATGATCGTCAGGCGGTGAGCGACACACAGTGAGAGCAGCCTGTCACGGTTCGCATTCGCTGAACCAATGCCATGCGGACCGATGACATCTGTTCACATGGGTGCATCACGCCCAATGCGCGCGTTGAAATAATTCAGCAGAAATAGTCGACCGCTCCTCGGCACAGACCGTGTCAAGGAGGATGGCTGAGAGTAGAGTTGATCACGCTTGTCATCAGGATAATACATGCTCGGACCATACTTGTTTATGAAAGTGGCAAACTTACCTCTTCCGAGTCGTAGGCGAACAGTCATCAGTCGCACGCTGATGCCTGTTGCTTCACCCACGAGCTGGCCATGGAGGCGATCGGATATTGCAAATCCGACTCCATGATCACGTGGCGCTGAGGCGGCGTTGCCCACCCAGTAGAATGTTTAGCCAGCACCCGCTTCATGCAACTTGCTCAGCGAGCGAGTCTCACTGAACGCCGCAGTGTGTTAACGCGCCAGTTCCATCTCGATCAGTGCAGTGCGTCGCTCGGGGCGCTCACTCGAGTTCCGGTCCAGTAGAGTGCGCACTTGACAGCATCCGACGCTGAGTGTTTTACGCGCAGGCATACGATTGCATTGGTGGACAATCGCACGCGAGGTGGCGGTTGTGCTTCGGAGGTTTGTTTGAGGGACTCCACCCGGAGCCTTTGGCTCAATAGCCTGATTTCCGAGGCAGTTGATGAGTATATATATATATATATATATATATATATATATATATATATATATATATATATATATATATATATATATATATATATATATATATATATATATATATATATCAACTCTACTCTCAGCTATCCTCCTTGACAC